AGAAAAAATATATATATCTATAATTAAAAAAAGAAATAAAATAATCAGAGAAAAAGAGAAAATTGAAGCGCAGGGGCTTAATTATAACCACATCGACGAATCATCGGGCAATGAATAGGCTCGATTTGCGCTTTGTTTCTGCCCGCAGGCTTCCGGTTCCGTGGCTCCTGTATGGTTTGATCTACGGGAAACCCGTGGAGGTGAACTCGGTGGGCATGGTGTGCAGCATAGCGATATTGTTCTGCATGCTGCTCTTCGTGATCATGAGCATCGCCTGCTTCAGATGGAAGATGAACAAGGGCCTCGGTTTCACGATGTTCATCCTCTACTTCGTCTTCGTCGCCGTTTCGCTGATGTTCGAGTACGAATGGTTGGTCTGCCCGGTGTAGGGCAGCCGGTGCAGCAGAGGTATTAGAACCTCCTCCGGAAGAAAGGCGACACGTCTACGAACGGACGCACACTTACGAATCTCGTCATCATCATCGTCATCGTCGTCGGCGAGTCTCGGCCGACGAGAGAACTCTTCCTTGCGGTCGAGCCGAGAAGGAAATCGCGCAAACCCAGTCATTACCTTCCCGCGTGCGCGTGAAGGGAATTTAATGATCGAACGGCAATAGCAGCACCATGAACACATATACACACAAACACACACGTACATATATACATGCGCACAAGCACACATACATATATACACGGTACTATCACCGATCATCAGGTCACAGCAGTTTTGTGTATCACGCAGAGGCGTTTTGTTCTTATAGTCGCGCGCGAGAGGTGTACATATTGTATAAATCTTGAAATACCTGAAACGAAATACTCGTCTTGTTAAGGATTAATCGAGCGTGCCACTTCGCTCGAGTGCGCTACCTTATTATTTAGGCATGGCGAGCGCGTTAGCTGATCGTGCCAAGGACCAAACCAGCATAATTTTATATAATCCGTAGAAGAATCCTTTGGCGCACGTATATAGTTCGAGTCTCTCTGGTCATACTCTTCTTTCTTTCTTTTTCTTCTTCTTTCTCGTTCTCTTGTCGCTTAATAAGCAATACCGTACGTGAGATGAATTAATAATTGCGGAATGCTTATTAATTCATTGACTAGACTTTTGCAACAAAAGTCTACAAAAAATTATATCTTAGCAATCTCCTCGATCAAAAAGTTTCCAAGTCTAATCATACGATATCGCATCAAATGTCGCTTGATTCGTGCATTTACCGAAATGTTTTTTACGCGTTTTTTTGAATTTATCTACACAATCAATAGCAATAATATCAAATTTATAAAAAGAAAAACGCAAAGTTACTTCGTCAGTGTACACAATGTTCCAGTGAGGCTTCTTTCGTTTGACTCCTTGGCACGCTCACGTGTCCAAATATATTATATATAACGTTATCCTTAGAGAGAGAAAGAGAGAGAGCAAGTGACCTGACCGCTCGCCGATTTTCCTCTAAAAATAGAACTCTTTTCACTTCTAATCGTAGAATAGTTCGATATAACTTTAATCTATTATGCTCACGAAATTCCAACTTGATGCGGTGTGCTGTTCGACGTTTCGTTTCGACGATGTATACTCGTGAATCTCAAATGTACGCTATATGTTTACAATTCGTTTACAAGTCTTTTTACTTTAATGTGTTAATCACAACGCTATAATATACAAAGACATATAAATTATGCATAGATTATGCGAGCTTTCACAGCAAAAGATTACAAAACGTGCAAAAAATATCTTATTTCTTCCCATGTTTATGATAAATTTCTTAATACATTACATACATTATTTTAATTAAAGTAAGATTGTGTTTGGTCAGTTAAAATATAAAATGTTTCCTACATTCGAGAAATTACATTAGAGAGATATCACTGAAAGTCTCTAAATATCGATTAAACGAAATAAACGATCTAAATATTCATTAAACGATATGATTCAGACACTGGTAAACACACGTTCCAAATGAAACGATCGATCGTCGCAGCGGATTTTCAGTATACGATCGGAACGGATGTTGCTGTTGATACGTGAATAAGATAGAGTAGTGATAAAAATGCGAGACGTTTTTTAGCAATCAATTAATCTTGCCTGCGCTGATTATATTTTTGCTTTTCATTTTATTAAATTGCTAGAAACAAGTTCAGGGACATTCATTTGGCTCTCTTTAATTGTTCATTTAACATTTGATTCAGGGGAAACATACATTGTTTATAAGAAATGTATTATATTTTCATGGAAAGTCGTTCAAATCGTAGCAATTTATTTATTGCTGATCAGCATCGAGTGAGTCCATTCGGATAATGCAAAATACGTCTCGTTTGCGTAAGACATTTAGATCCGATTCCGAGCGTGTTTTTTAAATACAATTACTATCACTACTCTCGTAACTATAATCTGTAAGCGACATGCGAAAGCAGACCTTCCTAAGTGCATAGAGAAAACTCTTGCAAATCGCATATTCGAATTGATAAATAGATCGCGCGAAGATTCTTATAACCAATCGAGAACACTTGTATCGCTTGTTGATGCACTTTACGCACGATCGAATCCTCATGTGCGATACATTTTCTCTGCATAGAGAAAGTATCGATACGATATGCAAAAACTACTAAAATTACGGAACGTGCAGATAATGCATCGTAAAAAAGAAACGAGCACGAGTCGCTTAGACGTTGCACTTTCCGTGATATCCCATCGCTTGATACTCTCCAAGCAACAATTCTTTTCCCTAAATTCTTTCAAGTTTTCAACATTGCATTACGACGCACTACTAAAAGATATCGTTAGAAAATATTAACTTACTATTATGATTGTTACGTGTACACACAGTAAAGACAAACGGGTAACAGGATGAATAACGAGTTCACGAAGGTATGCATGTGTGTGAGATTGAGAAAAAGAGAGAGAGAGAGAGAGAGAACGATAATGAGTAAGAAAGAGAGGGAGAAAAAAAATAGGCTCATGTATAGAGTTTAAAGTGTGAATAATGAGCGATTTTTAAGTTACAGGACCCGTGTTGTAAAAAGCGTTTGTAAAGGATACGTTTTAAGAACATAGAGATAATAGTTATAATGTGATATCGATTATATTAACGTACGAGGTGAGAAGAAAATGTTATTATACATACCTACCACGTTTTGAGAGATACAAACAGAGAAGTGATATTCTAGCCTGAACGCCTAAAAGCGGCCTAGCTTTTTATTAAGCCCACAGCTGGCGCAAAAATTGATCCATGGCGCGAAGAGATAAGAAAGAGACCATAATTATATAAAAAAAATTCTGTCAACATTAATCGATAAGGCGAATTTTAGATTATCAAACTCGTACGTATAGTATGAAGAAAATTTGGTGCGACGCAAAACGCATTATATGGAGAATATACATACACACGTATATTATATTCGCATATAACGGTATATATATTTTTTTCTATGGTCCTGATATTGGAAGCATGGGGGACGGTCTCTCGCAGCTTACGCTCCGCGTCGCGTCTGACAATGAGTTATTTTACGTTTAGCCTTCCGATGTTACATGTCCACGATGATAACGAACAACAATTTGTCACATCAATTTTTTTTTTAACGTGAGACATAACCGGTTATGTTAAACGACGAAGAATAGTCAAACTCCACAACGATATAAGCTTGAAAAAAAGAAATTGTGCAGATGTCTGTAGCTATTCGAAATATAGGTAAAATTATAGTTACGATGCAAGCGATGAATGGCAACAATATGATCTCTCCGAGGTATCGATCATTAATTAAGATAGCAATGCTCCTTTTCGCGACAGAGCATTACGTTGAGAAAAAGGATTTCGCCTGCATGGCAATACTGCCAATTAATTCTAAAAAAAAAAAAAAATTCACCTAAACACTCTTCCTTTTTATGAAATTTTATTTATCAATATGAACGTTTTGAGACTTTTTTATCCGCGAGCCTTTTTAATTATAAGTGGTTTCAGTCTTATATCACGTTTTTATCCAATGAATAAACTATATCTGAAATTGAAAAGATTGTGAATGGAGAAAAAAAGAAATAAGGCATTATTCTTAAATAGCATAGACAAACTTCGAAACACAGGCACAATTATGAGATTTCTGTAAATGAAAATCTCTTAGGCGCGTGAGCGGATGAACTTTTACTCAGCGTATGAAAAAGATGTAATCAAAATCGCTCGATACGGACGTGATAGCTAGCGGCGAACCGCCCTTCGGATTTAGCGGCGATCACCAACGGAAAACAAAGCCGGGTTCCTTCGTGACGTCGAACATAAATGGGGAAATGTGTACGAGCTGCGGGAGAAAAGTGGGGAATATAGTGCCGAGGCATTTTGCGCCGTGGTGTGCGGGGTACGAAAAGGATTAGTCTGTCAGTCGCAAGCGAAACAACGAAAGCGGATTAGCAGTGAATCGCGTGATAAGTCGAAGGTCGTGCCGGAGGGCACAAAGCGCAGCGGTGCTCGCGTAATTTATGCTTTGTAATATACCATAGGACAAACATCATCGACATTGGTGAAGAGAGATGGCCCGTTTTGGTTTTGAACGTCGACTCGAGAGATTAATACTTTCCGTGAGTTGCCTGGATATAAACGTGTGTGTATAAGAAAATAGCTCGCCTCGTGATACATTCCCCTCCAGAAAGAATGACATGAAGAGATTTCAAATGTACATGGCATGCCATTGATTTCGATACTTTTTAGCGACTCGAGTTGTACATATATAGTTATATATACATATATACATATATATACATATGTATGTATGTATGTATGTATCAGTTGTATGTAAGATATATATGTACTATATTTTAGTACATGAAATTTGATTCGATTCTTGTGTTATCAAATTGTCAGAACGCACGTATGTACACTGGCACATTTATTTATAGAGCATGAAAATAACAATAAAAAAGACAAAGAGAGAGAGAGAGAGAGAGAAAGAGAGAGAAGAAAATTGAAATAAAATAAAGAAAATAAAATTTATTTCAATGCATACATGCACGCAGATACACACACACACACACACACACTCACACACACACACACATATATATATATATATTTACGTTCGAGATGTGAACGCGACGAGACGGAGTGTGTTTTCGAAAGATGAAAATTGTTTGTCCGGCAAGTTTGTCAAGACTAAAGTGCAATGCATCGATGCCAACCCTATTACGTAAGGGATACATTTATGTGAAAGAGAACGAGAACGAAACAAATTCCCACCAGTTAATGCATTCAACCCGAAACAGTATAATCAGTATCCGATATAGACCATTCTAAATTTATAAGAGCGTCTCTCTCGTAAAAAATCTTTTTGAGAAATATAATTATCTTTTTATATTTACAAAAGCTTCATTTTTCCAAAGGTGGCTTTCGAGACTTTTAGTCGCGTGGGAAAAAAAAATAAATTTATTGTTATCATATATATAGGATCCGTTAGACTATTTTATATTTTTATGTGAATGCACAATACGTTGTACTGTTTAGAGTTGATGGTAGCTGTTATCTTATACGGATCCGGAACCTGTCGCGCGCTCGCAAAAAGACGCTCCAAACTAGAATTTAAGCAACGTTAAGAGTTTAGTTGATTTCATACTTTTTAACGTAGCTTTCGAGAACCGTAGAGGAATTTTTACATCGTGACAAGGTCGGTAGATTAGAGCCGGGCACGCGACGAGGATCAAAACGATCTTTCAAATTTCATCGAGTTTGTTAAAGAAGGGCCGAGTGACACAAATTTGTTCTCCGCATCGATCGATCGTGTATACTAAGAACGTCACTGTTCTTTCACGACGAATGACATGATATATAATCGTTACGATACTCGTGGATATAAAATAACGCGGGATATAGCGGAATAAAAAGGGACACAATACGCACGCTGTGAACGATCGAATAAGATCAAACGCTTCGAATATTTTCTTGGCATTGACAAAGCGCGAACGCACATATCAAAGAGAAAAATGTTGATTATATGATAACTGAGATTACTTGGTAGTATTATTAGTGACTTAAGTCGTAAGATAATTAGAGATGAGGTTATACGAGCGCGTTATAAAGTTTCTATTATTACAGATTATATAAATATGTATATAAATATGTATCGTACGTGTATCAATGAACGTTGGATCGTCGATTATTGAATCGCGTATCGGGGAAGATACGGCGAGATGCAATTTTCGCGATTCTCTGGGCGATCAGCGTGTTGGACGTAACGTAAATTCGGGAGAGTATACCTCGCGTTTCTCTCGGGCTTTTCTTTTGATATATATTTCATTATTGTCATCTCTTTTAAAACGCCGCATATATAGGGTTGTACCCCCGTCCATCGCCGCAGTAGTAGATTTACGGGATACGACGCGTAGTTATAAAAAATCACGACTTACGAGATTAATTAGGTCACCACAGAGTGCTAGAAAGACGAAGGGGACGAAGCGAGAAGAAATATAAATATATACATATAAATATATAAATATATAAATACGCAACACACACACATATAAATATGTAAAATATTTAGCGTTATATACGTTCACGTCGGCGATTCCGAGTTGGGACGTTTTTATTACGGTAAAAAAAAAATTTCGTTTCTTGATGTTCGTAAGATACGTCTTCGACGCGTTACTTAGATCGGGGCCGAGGCATAATAATCGTTTTATGCGTGACGAGAGAGTGTACAACGATGCGTTCGGACGAAATCGCTTAATCGTGAAATTCATCATTTTGCGATCGCAAAAGTGATGAACAATTTTCCCGAACGAAGGTAAGGAGAGACCGAAGACAGGTGTATCAACGACCACGTTCGAAAGTTCGCGCGGGACGAATCTCAGCTTAAAATTAGAGATCGCGTAACCGAGAGTACGAGTTTAACGAGTATAACGGAACTAATCGCAAACATAAAAAAAAAAGTCATGATGGACAAAAAAGATACCATTAAAAAAAAAAAAAAAA